AAAAAAAAAATATATATATATATATATACATACACATACAGGTGGGATACTAAGTAAAAGAGAGTTTAAGGGATAATCCCTAACACAAATTAAAAATGAAAACTTTATATAATTATATATCTAAAACGACTTAATTTCAAAGATACAGTAAAAATTAAAAAAGAAATTTCATTTTTTTCCGAAAAATTCGAAAATTACTTGAATTATTTTAATAATATATGTTTAAAGAAGATCAACAGCCAGTATTTAGTTGATTCTTACATTTAAGACTGTTTTAAATATTACAATCTTAAGATATCGTAAACTAATCACAACAGTGATCACAACAAAACCGTGTGTGTGTGTGTGTGTGTGTGTGTGTGTGTGTGTGTGTGTATATATATATCAGCGCATCTTAAAGTATTACTTAAAATCTTAAAATAAGAATTGACTGGCCAAAGGTATTACAGGCAAATGAGAAGTGCGCACCGGCCTTAAACACTACATAACAAGAGTGTTCATTAACTTTAATCTGCTTTTTTCTAAAAACTACTTGTGGGATTCAACTTTGCTAAATGAAAAAATTTGTGAGCAAAAAGTTTCCCTTTATAGAATCAGTCCCAAATGACTTCCGATTAACTTCCTTAAAAATCACTCGGAAGTCATTTGGAGGTGACTATGTAAAGAGAAACTTATCAAGAGTGGTCTATTTTAATCCATCAAATAGAATATCTCAAAATCCTTAAGTTTAAAATAAAAATATTTCAAATAAAAGTTGTTTAATTACAAGAGGAAAAGAAGGTGGTGACCTTGATTGACCTTGAGAAAATGTCCTTAAAGTCAAATCAAAATTATTTAAAATTTTTTTAATGGAATTATATATATCTTTTCACGCAATATGATTCTTCTAATTATTTTGCACATAAAAATATTAAATATACCAAAAAGCCAATAGTTTACGAAATATTTTACACTTTAAATCTGACACGTGACGTGAAACCTTACATATCTTGTACACTATTAACTTTTTAATAATCATACATAGTTAAAAGAATCACATATTGTGTAAAAAAAATATATAACATTTCAGCCTAACCTTGACTTGACTTTAAGAACATTTTCTGAAGATCACTATCTTCTTTCTCCCTTGTAACTGAGCAACTTTTGTCTAAAACATTTTTGTCTTAAACTTAAAAATTTTGAGATATTCTACTAGATAGATTAAAATGGACCACTCTGTATAATATTATATTAATATTAAAAAAGATTTATCAAATTTCGGGACACTATATATATGTATGTCATTTATGTATATATTAATTTATTAATAACTTGTTAAAAAGCTATTGTGCAATGCATTCTATATAAAGTATATAATATCTTTATTTGAAGTTATACTTACTGGTTGATTATAATATTGCATATAACTCTGCATCATGGCCGTAACATCTGCGCCCGTTGCTGGTGCACCGTAGCCAATTGATGGTTGCGGCAATGAAGTCGCACCAGTTGACAACGGCCATTGATTCCAATTTTGCATTTTGTAAATCTTCTATCAGACTAGCAAGCAGCTTGTTAGTCACTCTAAAGCCCGTAGTCCGTTCTAAGTGTAATATGTATTTAAACATATATTTATAAAAAAGATTGATATCTCATTGCACATAACATATATATATTTCATGATACCTGTTTTAACCTATTTTAATATTTTTCAATCATTTCAACACTTTGTACAATTAAAAAATAAATATAACAAAAACAAATCGTTTAAATTATCAAATATAATTCATTACAATATAGTATGTCGAAAAATATGGTACGTCGACGCTGATAAATTTTGCAGCGTATAAATATTTCTGATTTATAAATTAGTATAAATGTATTTCTCTAAAAATAAAATGTATATCATTATTTTATAACGCTGCTTAAAATTCAATGGAAGTATACAATGTATTATATGTAATATATGAGATATGCATCATAACTCGCAGTTTGTAAAAGTGAAATTTTGTACATCCCATGTAATAATATCACAGTTAAATAAGTAATGTGTGAATATATAAATGTAAGAGGAAAAATACAATTATATATTATTAATATAATTATGTAATATATTTTGTATGAATATTTTTTTTTTATGTCAGAAATATAATCCGACAAATAAGATCTATCATAATAAGAAATTGTCATTTAATATATCGTTCAATATATCAAATTAGGTGATAAAATAGCGCAGAGTGAAGAAGAGCATTAGACTTTCTGTAACGAAAAAGTCTAAAAAAGTGCAGTTTGCATCTATTGAATAACTGATGCAGCAAATGGACAAACATCATATGTTAATACGATTTTTACGAATTCGATAATTTCTCATGCATGATACCAATGAATAACCACGACTTGAAGAAGTAAAATTCGTATCATTATTATGCCATATATATATATATATATATTTGATTTTGTTCCAAGAATATATCAAATATACAAAGTGTCTTAATAAATCTTAAAAATGTGTACTTGTTGTAATAATACAAAATATCATATAAATATGATTTTACAATTGCATTTTTTTTGAAGTCGCAAATATTAACAAAAAAACTACATTCAAATAAATCATAGTAAAATATATGTAAAGATAGATATCAAATAAAACAACAACAACAATAATAATAATAATAATAATAATTGTGACTCTCAAAATCGAGAGCATAATACTAACTAGAATTAATATTTCAATTTTTTGTTATTTGATATATAAAATTGTTCTATGTCTAATTGTTTATACTTTACTGTATACCAATATTCATATGTTTAGCATGTCATTTAGATATTGTAATGTTTCTGTTAACGACTAAACAACTTTCAAAACTAAAAAATGCATTTGTAAGATCATGTTTAGAGAATTTTTCATTAACATGATCATTAAAATGCAATAACCATGCTAATATGTAATTATTATTTCAACTAAGCAGTTTGTATAGAAATCTGTCACGTATTCTATATACATCTAACTAATGTTAGCTTTGTACTAGAATAGATTCTTCTGTTAAAAAAAATATTGCGTATATGGAAGAGTCACTAATAAAAAAAAATGCCTCATCCATTATATTGCCAATATTAATTCAATATAAAAATCAGATTTTTTCTTTCTCTCTCCTCTCTTTACATAAAAATATTTGTATCTTCACAATAAAATATCAGATACATATATGATTACATCATTACATCATAGATATATACATAATATATACCAGTATAAAAACTAAAAAATAAAATAAAAATTAAATTCCAAAATTACAAGACAAATGAAAAATCATGTACAAGGTGTTCAGTATAATGGTCTGCATGATATTTAGGACGTTTTCAACAGTTAAAAAAAGAATTTTAAAGTAAATATATTCATCTATTTCACATGCAAGCTTTGTAATATAAAATATTAAAAAAAAATTTTTGTTTTAAGATGGTTTAAGACGGTTCTTTAGTAAAGTACCGAAAATTTGGAGTACCGAAAATTTGGAGTACCGAAAATTTGGAGTACCGAAAATTTGGAGTGCCTCATCAGGATTTACCCAAAATTACAAACATCTGCATTATTTGGATAAAATATTAAAGTTACGTGTATATCTTAATAAAATAGTATGAAACATACGATAGCAAATCAAGAGCTGCATTTTCATTAAATAAAAATAAGGTGAAGTTATATTCATTTTTCAAAGTTAAATTTGTATGCAAATTATGCATGTAAATGGGTGCATTCAAAAGCATAATCGCTCACTGAGTGCTCAATGAGTTTTTGCATCTGATTGGCACATGCCATTAAATCTAAAAATATAGACCAAACAGGTACAACAGCTCACTGAGCGATCGTGCTTTTAGATGCACTCAGTATTTTTCCAGAATAGTCGCTGACCTATTACTTTTTTGTGACCATTATAATTAATAATAATTTCATTAAAAAAATTATTATTAATTAAATTATAATGATAAATCTCGTTTTTTAGAGAAATCCATGGTAATATTTGTATGTCGTTTAGTCAAAGACTAACACTAAATTATACATTAAAAGTTACACTTCCAACATTTATTTCTTTCTCATTTTATCACTATCCTAGAATTTTACACGTTAAGTTCGGTACTTCAAACTGTATTATATA